TCAGTTCGGTTTTCAAAATCATTTCCATCAAGTTCTTGGCAAAGCTGAATTTTATAAGGATAAAACTTGTGCCTTTTGATAATTCTGGAAATACTTGATTGACTAATGTTAGTACTGTATGTAGAGATTTTGACTAACATTGGGATTTTCGATAACTAAACCAAATACCGTGAAAACATTTTCTTCATCTTCAGTAACAGATTTCCTTGTAATGAGTTTTTTATAATTGACAGTCCCGCTTTCCTCAAATTGATGTAATAAGCGCTTAAAAACTGTTGGCTTAGGATGGTTTCTTTCAGGAAACTTTTGAGCATAACCTCGAGAAGCCAATAAACAATGTTTATCAGATTCTCCAAGGGTGAAAATCATGTCAATACGCTCTTCTCTCGGACAATTCTTCATTTTCACTTCGCAACACAATAATAATATTAAAATAACAAAAAAAATACCACTCCAGCTATCAAAAAGAGACTTTGCAGTCTAAACTGAAAAATAAAATAAATGATTTGACATGTGTAAATGGCATAGGCAACTTCGATCCATTGGAACCTTAAATTAAACAACACCAAATGGTGCACAGAACGACTATTTGACGTATTTTGTAAAAAGGCGAAAACTTAGCTATTAACATCCTAATACCATTCGATAGGTAATTAAAAATTGCATTTCCTGGTAAGTTAAAAAATATAGGGTTGTGTTTAAATTAATCAAGTTAGAGCCACTTAAAGTTCTTATTTCATTAGTTTAAATTTGTGGACACCCTGTATAACATGGTAAGTTTATTATCATTGGGATATAAAATATTACATCTTGTTACACTTCAATATAAATTACGCTTACATAACTTAAATACTTCTAAAGTATTTGACACGTGAAAATCAGATTATATTTTGATTAAATTCGTATTATCTAAAAAACCTTAAGATTTAGGTGTTATAAACCTTATTAAAACCGACACTTATTTTGTTCAGCGAATCCAAAAATGCGATAATATACAGGACATTCCATAATATTTAAAAAAAATATAGTTTTTAAATGTGCGCTCGGTAAGCGTCCGATAATTCATAAAATAATACTTTTTAAAAATCAAACGGTTTAGCCGCAAACTTCCGTGCCGTATAGCGTGAATAACCCTGTATATATAAAAAAAACAAATTACTGGGGACTAGTGATACAGATTTTTAAAAAGAAGCGACGGATCTCAGTCTTTAAAATATATTATGTGGATTTCGGATGACCGATCTTTGTGTATGCGGACACAAAAAGAAGCGGGGTGCAAACCGAATTAAACTCCAAGAATTAATTATTTAACATATTCTAGTTTGTTTTAAGATATATATAGTTTTCCTTTTGTCTGAATGTTGCTCCATCGTCATATTTAAATTTGTTTTTAGAATTTAAGTTATTCACTCTATTGGAAAATCGAGTCCAAAACGTAATACATTTATTCTTTAACGCTCCCTAAAGAAGCAAATCTGATGGTGCTAATTTAGAGAACCTAGAGGGCCATTCTACAGAAACAACTCCTGCTCTTCTGCCGATCCACTTGTGCAGAAAAGCATTACAAAAATTAGCAGTTACAGCAGCGGTAAAGGCTACAGAAGCAGCAACGTGCAGGCCACATCTGAGCAAGATAGTCCGCGACGCAAAACTTGGTTTGGGTTAGTTTTTGCTCTTAAACAATAACCACTGTGGTAATTCCCGATCAAACATTTATTCGAAATTTCTTTTCAAGGTGGTGATGATTTTCTTATGTGCAATGATGGAAGTTGTGGAAATTTAACACATCTTCTGACAAAACCAGCTTCATCAGTGTACAACTTTAGTACTAAGTTTGGGTTAAGTGCCCTTGCTTTCTCAATAAACTAGGGAAAATTGAAGTCTTGTATGAAAATCGAATGCGAGAAGCTCTTAAACAGGCCTCACATAATTTGGATGAACAAACTGTTGTTGTCTCCAGGGATCCTTTTTAAAACGGGTTCCTCAACAGCCGCATATTGAGTATGAGGAGAACCCTCACGAGTAAGAACTCAAACACCAATTTATCTGGTCCCGCAAACTCGTTTCAAATCGATGCAAACATGTGATAAGTTGGAGCAATTTGTCTTTGCAATTATTCTTCGTTCTTTCATTCATTATTTCTTCATTAGAAAACCCGAATTGAAAATTCTTCAGACGCACCGACATTATTTTTTTATAAACACTTAATCGCTTTCTACGAAAATCGCAGTTATTGTTAAATAGAGCGGAAGCAGAATAATACTGTTTGCGCGAAAACATTGATTGCTGCAAAAATTTACAAAGAGCATGAAAATCTCGTTAGCAAAGAAAAAAATTGCCTCTTTTCGTTCCAAGACACTCAAGAATTGACTACCTGCCCATTGCTAAGAACCGCAGCAACTTCATCGAATATGAGTATTATTTACGAACGAACAAGTTTTCTTTAAAATCCATCGAATATTCCCATAAGTTACAACGCCCTGCTTATGGAGCCTGATAAGCAAGTTTCTTCCAATGTAAGCATTATGGAATCAGTTTCATGCCACTCGCTCAAAAAATCCATTATCACCATTTAATGTTTCCGGCAGTTAAAGCTTTGCAAGTTTCAGTATTGAATCTATTTGTTAATAATAAAATATTTAAAAATTGTATTCCATTTTACTACCTTGTTGCACTCTAAAGCGATTCGTCAAATCTCTTTTAAATTTTTAATTCAAACTAATAGTTTTCATGAAAGGCAATAGAAAGGTACCTATATTTAACGGATTATGTCGTAACTCTCTATACACCTTAGTTTTAAACTTATAATTTAGTAAGAAATAATCTGAAATTTTAAAGCGGTTTTATTGCGAAACAAGCTTCTAAAAACATTCTTTTTATGTTTCAAAGCTTCATTTTCTAGAAAATGTTATTTTTAAACTGTTGAAGGCCCGCTTGGATCTCAACTACTTCCCAACAATACAGCCTGGAAATGCGTATTCAAAAATGTACTGCAAATCCGAAAGCAATAAGCAATGAATTCCGGGGCAAAAAGAACAAATATTACAAAGTAACCCATACTTTGTAGGCAAGCAATTAAAAAATAGTGGGCCTCCGATAACAGCGCTCATTAATTGCCAATGCCGAAATATTACAATGGATTTTTGGGAACAATGGAAAAACCGCCGAAATATTGAAAAATCACAATCGCAAAGCTGAAGAAATTATCAACATATGAAAAAATGTGCACAATTACACTATTAGATCTCATCGCTGTCTTTAAACACCCAAATTAGGCAAGCAATTAAAATGATCTGCTTTGAAATTCGAATATAAGCAGCTTTAAAGTATTCATATGTATTGAGGCAATCTTGCATAAAAATGCACTTTATTGTAATCTGCTGCTTTGTAGGTATTACCTGAATTACACCAGTATATTGGAAAATGCCGTTTTAACCAGAACAAAATGGCACACAGAGGGATTTAGGGCGAATCGGATTTGAGAGACGATCTGTTTACGACACAGCTCTAAATCTAGTCGAATCCTTTGCAGGATTTACTGCTCACTTGCGAGCAGTCGTCCTTTTTTCAGTTTACGAGACAGCTGAACGCTACCAGCTCGTCCTACTAAAACTCAAATAGGAAAAACTCGTCTGTTGAGTTGAGACTTTATGGATGCTGGCTGATACTCTAACTTTTGGCTTTCGAACTTTTGCGAGCAACTTCCATACTCTGCTAAGTGTATTATATGGTACATGGTTTTCGACAGCTTTTTGAGGATCCATTTATTTTCAAATGCGCACTTTACTTTCAGTGGCCGCATGTTACTTACAAGCGAAGCTTCAAATATTTTATATCAGCGCAAAATATTTCCATCAGCAATATCGTTTAATAAAATTTCTAGGCGTTTAGTTGCGTTTCTTTCAATCAACTCTTTTCGTTAAGTTCTAATTTTCGGATTATTCAATTAGGGATTCATAGTGACAAATCGCCAACAATGCATCACAAAATGGCAAGCAAAGGTTAAAACAAAAAGTAGAAAATTGCATTGAAGGTAGATAATAAGTCAATTTAAATCGACAGTCTCACATATAAAAAAACACAAGAAGTGAAAGTTGGCTGGCCGGAAGTGGAGATCGTTAACTTCAATCGACTGTCTCAATTTTGTTTCAACTTATTCAACAATGAAAACTTCAGAAACCAACATTTGTGTGACTTTGAAATTACTCCTTATATTAGCTACTCAAATTGCTTTGTTTTAAATTAATTTACTGCATTTATTACTTATGCTGGTATTAGGTTCCATCTTTTCTCACTTTCTTTATAGCAAGAAGCAGGCAAAGTTAAGTTTGTGCCAAAGCGATTATCGGGATCGATGAATATGAAGAAAACTTTT